CTGTTACAAGACCTTTGATCTTATGACCCAGTCCCCTAAGCGTTTCTCATCCCATTTCTGGTTCCTCTGCTCACAGAACACATTTCCAGCTGGAAGGGGAATGGAGACTATGGGACCTAGGAGTAAGGGCTTTCAGGCTGCCTCACTCTCTTAACATGGACATTGACACTGTGAGAAGCCTACACTTCCCCTGTGAGCTCAAAATGTTACCAGTGTCTCTGGGTGCCAATGGAAGAATGGGTTTGTCTTGGTTTTCTTCCAGGCTTCTACTCTCCAGAGAGATTTTAACATTTTTTTCTGAGATCTCCACCTCAAATTGGAATTCTCCATAGTTCCGGGACCAACTGCCCTTCAGTCAGTGGTCTCTGGAATGAGATCTCCTCATCTTCTATTGAATAGATCCTAGGAAACTGAACTTGACAGCTTGAATCTTCCTCATGTCATCTCAACCTGGGGTACTTTGAGAGCCACAGGAAAATTATGGGACATGTTTCTGAAGTGTCAGTTTCCCTGAGTCTCTTGAGAGAGGAAAAAGCAATAATGTACTTAGGGATGACAGTCACATGGGTTTCTAAGTGTACGCCAGACTTCTCTCTGAAATGAGGCTTGGGTCGTCATCTTGCTGATAAATACCCAGATGTAACAGAAATGCCGCCTTCTGTCATGACGACACATTGATATGAAAGTGTGAGCGGTACTGGTGCACTTCTTAACACCCACAGATGTGTGAGGATGTCTGACTGTAAACATACAGTGTACAGGTCCTGCCCACTGAATGTTGAGTTGTTCTACCTCAGCGTCAGGTTTTGGTCCCTGGAAGCTGCTGATTGATGGAAAAATCCCTGAGCTTGGAGTCAGAAGATTGAGTACAAGTTCCAGTATTGCCTTTTTTTGCCGTATCAGTCCCTCTCAGTCACTGACTGATTGCGACAACACCTTGTACAGATGTCGGTGGCATTAAATCAGATGGTGTATAAGAGTGTATTGTAAAATCTGTAAAGGGGGATGGGGCTGTCGGGGCTGTTGGTTCTCATGAGTATTACTGCTCTTCTTTCCCACAGTTACAAGAATATCAGATGAGGAAGACATCTGGTGTTCGCGAAGGAGCCAAAAGAAAATTGAACAAAAGTGCTGGGAACCCCGAGTCAGCCCCTTCTAGTGTTTGCCGGTCACCTGGCGATGTGAGTCTTGGGCCAGCCAGGTTCCTGGGGATGGTGGGTGGGGGGTGCCCAAGGGGCCGTGGAGGGGAATTGCTAAGATTGTGGATGGGCTGTCAGGGACCGCTTAAGAATTCTGGGTTTGAATCCTGCCTCTCCATCTGCTATGGATACGATTTAGGGCAAGTTTCTTGAGCTTTTTGGGCCTCTCTTTTCACATCTGTAAATAGAAGTGGTATTGTTTGAATTCCATTTGTGAAGTTTAAATGAGATTTGTGATTGTTGTTTTTATGTTAATCTCTAGTACACGTCCTGCTGTAAATAGCCAGGACACCCAGGAAATGGTCGTTGCTGTCTGATTCTCCTCATCCCCAGTCTCACGGGGACGCCAGGCCAACGAGAACGGCCACTTCCCATCAGCCTGTCCCTTCAGCGGTCACTGAAACATCCCACGGTGGGAGGGTGGGGACATTAGAACCAGGAGAAAAGCTGACAAAAAGGACATATGGGACAAAGGGTCCGAGACAGGCAGAAGAGAAAATTTTGCCAGTTGATGGGGAAGAAAGGCAGTCAGAGGGCTTAGACACTGAGGGGGACCGAACATGTCCATGTACACTCTCATCTCTTGTAGTCACAAACAGATATTCATGCGGAGGGCCCTGCGTCATGTACTGCTCTGAAACATCTGCAGGTAAGAGGCCCTGCGCCGAGGTGCAGTGACCCTGCAGGCCAACCCTCCAGCCTCCTTCCACAGCGGGGGCTGGGCGCCCTTCTGCCAGCTGAGACAGCCCCATACACCATAGCCCCAATGACTGTTCTCTCTACCTCCCCCAAATCCTCCTCCAACTCCTCCTCTCTGCAGGCACCTCAGAAGCGCTACCTAGAAACAGCAGGAACCCTGGACTCGAGCTCCAGAACCATCGGTCAACTGAATGACACCATTCAGTTATTGGTAAGAGTCCAGTGGGGTCCCCGGGTTCCACACTGCCCATCCTGGGCTCCAGATTCCCCTTGGGGCCCTGAAAAAAGGGGCTGGGGGATCCTGGTGCCAAGCGCAAATGGGGAACTGGGGCACCCAGGCCTCACTTGGAGGGACCCAGAACAGGGACATGCAGCATGGCTCTTCTGTTGCTGACCACTTTTCCGACTCTCTCTTCACCAGACACTCCTGCTCAGGTTTTGACACACATGCCCCGTGGCTGTCGCCTCTCGGGGAAGTGCTAGCCTGACTGGCGGTCAGGGGCCCTGTATTCCTGCTGTGACTCAGTCCCTAATTTGCTATTTGACTCTGAAGGAGCCGCCTCTGCTCCTTGGGCTCCTGTTTCCACAGGACGTAGAGTATCAGAGGTCTCTGTTAGCTCTGAGAGTCTGAGATTTAAAGGCCCCTTAGAATGGAAACTTCAGGGCCAAGGGCTCCTGTCCTTTTCTGTCCCACATCTCTGCTGTGAAGAACCGTACCTGGCCCATATGTGCTCAGTAAATATTTATGGAATGAATAGTTTTCTAAATCACAAGCTGACAGAAGGGGCCTCTTAATCAAACTTCATCTATAGAGGTTGATGTTACTGTCCTTTCGAGAGAATCCAGATTCAGACTTTGAGTTCGGTGGCTGTGGGCAAAAACCAACAAAGACTCTCTGTCCTTGGGAGCTTGAGGAGAGTTGACCAGTTTGTGTTCCCATTGGGTCTGAGAAATTTGCCTTCAAAATCCATTTCTGACCCCTGCCTACCACTTCATGGTGTGGACAATAGAGTTCAGGGGCCACCCTCAGTCACCTTGACTCTTTCCACAGAAACAGCAGAAGGAAGGACTGGAGCAACAGCTGAGAGAAGTAACGTGATTTGTTCGTTCGTGACGTGACTGTGGGGTTTGGGGGGCACTCAGATGGAGAGGCGCCAGTCTCCTCTCACCCACTCCCAGCCTGGGGAAGAAGGCTCGCCCCTCAGATTCCACCCCATCCCCACAGGGTCTCTGATCACCTGGTCCCATGGGTGGATCTGTTCTGGGTCATTGGTGGCATTCCTTGGGCATGTCTCTTGTGCCATCTCTGCCTCCCCCTGCTGAGAGCTCTGTCTTCCTCTTCCTATAGGAAAAGAAAATGCAAAGGGAGCAGTTAGAGGTGAGTGCAGGGTGGGAAGTGTTCTCCTGTCCTTCGGAGAAGGCTTCTTTCCTTCTCTTTCAGCACGTGCTTGGCTTTTACCAAAGGGTCACATCCAGACAATCAACAGCCTCACGTCTGAGAATGGGCAGCTGAAAACTGCCCTATACCACACGCGCCGTGCCGCCAGGCACTTTGAAGGTGGGAATCTGGGCACCCCGTTACCCTTCCGCCTGACACGTTGACAGGTCTTTAGTGGGAGTCCTTTGGGTCCCATCTCAATCTCTCAATCTCTCTCATTCCAGAAGAGTCCAATAAATTGGTCGGCTGCCTGCAGGAGGCCTTGCAGCAGAAAGGGGAGTTGGAGCGGACTCTGTCTGCTGTCTCCGCCCAGCAGGACAAGGCGGACAGGGTGAGTCCAACCACCTGCCCCATCCCCTGGCAGCCTGACCTCCCAGATGGAGGAGTGAGCCTAAAGGTGCCTTCTGCAGGATGGAGTGTCTGCCCAGGAGGCAGCATGGCCATCTCTCACTGCTTTTGTGTGTGGTTGTTAGAGGCAGCCTGGGGACAATTCAGCTGCCGTAGGTGACTAAGGGGGCACTGTGGGGAGTGAGCACTGGACACAGAGCTTGGAGGCCAATTGCCTGCCCTGCCCTTACCTCTGTCACTGGCGAGGTCCTCAGTGGGGAATTGGGTACTTGTACTGTGAAGGTACAGAACAGTACCTTTAGTATGTTACCATTTGTGTAGAGAGAGGAAACGTGTGTGTGTGTGTGTGTGTGTGTGTGTGTGTGTGTGTGTGTGTGTGTGTAGTATAATATACATAAAATGTGTCTACAAGGGCTCATAAAAAACTCAGGAGAGAGCAACAGGCTGACTGGGAGGCACTTCCTTCCTGTACCTTCAGAGTTTTGGACTGTGTGAATGTATCATCCTTTCAAAAACTGAACAAAAGATTAATTTCCCGTTGCTATCTGTGCCTTCATGGCCAGCAAGAAAAATGGGCTGAGAGAATCAGATACATCTGGGTGTTCAAATCCCAGCTCTGTCTCAGTGATCTCACGCAGCACTTCACCTCTAAAACTCCGTGGTTTTCATCTACACAATAGAGAAAATCATAGTAACTGTCTCATATGGTGGTTGTGAGGATCAAATGGGATGGTTAGCACAGCACCTGGTGAAGCACTCAATAAAGGTTCAAACAGGGGTAGTAAGAGGGGTAATAACAATAGCAATATTACCTCATCTCTCTGGGCCTGTGTTAGCCATCTGTCACTTGGATCTCTTTCCCTGTCCCTTCCGACTTCACTGAGTTCTTTTAAAAACCAAACCACGAGCTTGGAAATGCCTTGATGCTTACTGACCGAGTTGAATGTCGAGCCTAGCCCCGCCCTTTTAAGGGGTATTGTGCGGAATGGCCCAGGCTCCCCAGACTGAAACTTCTCACTCTTCATCCTCCAGTCCTCACACTGCTCTGAAGCAGTCCTCGAGCGGCAGTTACGGAACTCCAGAAAGGAGCTGGCACTGCTAAAAGCACACATGACACAGGTGAGGCTTTGCAGAGGGAGGGATGTGGAAGGAAGATGACCCCAGTTGGCCATGAGCAGCTGAGGAACAGTGACAGCTCTTCCTAACTTCTGTGTTCATTTTCACAGATGAAGGCATCATTTCACCAAGTGCAGCTCGAGAGAGATGAGTATTGTCAACATATTAAAGGAGAGAGGTCCCGATGGCAGCAGAGGATGCGGAAAATATCAGAGGAGGTGAGACCTGACCCTTCAGACGCCACCTTAAGACAGATCACTGGATCTTTCTGGACATCTGTGAAATAGGAATTGCATAGCCAGAGGAGGCCATGGGTCTGGACTTTGTGGAGGTGGGACAGACAGCGAAATGGCCGACTGTCCAGCCACCAGTCCCTCTCTTCAGGGCCCTGTCTCCTGTGCTTTGGGCAGGTCCGCACATTGAAGCTTGAGAAGAGGCAGGATGCACATCGCCTGCAGGAGCTGGAAAGGAGTCTTGCCCACCTCAGGAACCAGCTGGGTAAGATGTGCCTGGCATGACCCTGGAGGAGGACTAGCACCAGAGGGCTGTGGACGTAGTTTAGAATGTCCCAGGGAGGTGGCTGGATGGAAGGGTTTTGAGACAGAGGAAGAGGTCTGTGCCAGGAGATGGGAAGTCTTGTCATCTCCATGAGCCTGTGTCCCCATCAGCAAAGAGGGAGGCGTGCCCGTTGTCAGCCACCCACAGGGCTCTCTATCTGAAAGTGGCTTGGAAATCTGGCTGCCATCGGATGCAAAGAATCATCAGCAGTGAGGCCGAGTTTACAGAGCGTGAAAGGAACTGTGCACCAAAGGGAGGGTGGTTGAATTTGTTTTTTAGAATCCTGAAGCCCTTATATGCTGCTTCCCTTTTCAGCTGAAGCCCCACGTCCCGAGCCCCCAGTAGGGCCCTCGGTGGCAGAACAACAGCTCAAATTTGAGACCAACCTCCTGAGGATAAATCTGGAGACTATTACAGAGCAGCTGCATGCTCAGGTGAAGAACAATGAGAACTTGAATCGCCTGAGCTCTGAGCAGAAAACAAGGCTGTGGCAGCAGGAGGAGTCCCTGCAGGAGCAGAGAGAGAGGATGCGGCTGCAGGAGGAGGAGCTGGTGCGCTGACCCACCTGGGGAGCCTGTCCTTCCGAGCCCTCCAGGCGTCTGTGTCCCCACCTGTACCACGGGGGAATGTAGCCCTCATGTGAAATGGTCCTTCTAAAGGCACCTGTGAACCAGAGTCCTGCTCTGAGGGCTGTGGGGGAAGGGGATGATTTTTCTAACCTGTCTCTGCCCTTCCCGGTGCCTTGGGAGGCAGACACCAAGTTCTGGGGTCTCTAGCTGCAGTGGGTGTCCACTGAACGCTTCCCTCTGTCCAGAACAACGAGAAGAAGAACGCAGTGCAGTTGGTGCAGCAGATAAAGGAGCTGCAGGAGAAGCTGCACAACCAGAAGGTGAAGGTAACCTCTGCCCCGTCTGAGAAGGGCTGGGAGGCAGGCAGCAGCCTCTGAGGAGGGGAGGGGCGAAGCCAAAGGCAGCTCCAGACTGAGGGTAGGTGACCCCAGCACGCTTCAGGACGGTCCTGTCCCCGTTTCTTGCTTTCTGCCCTCTGACTTTTAGAGGTGGGTAGCCCTTGGCTCTTCCCAGGTCTACACATTATCATCCCAGCTAGAGGCATGGAGCCCCCCAACCACAGGAAAAGAGGCAGTGGTAGAAGGGGGTCCTTATGCTAGGCATGGTGGCGCATGCCTGTAATCCCAGCTACTCAGTAGGCTGAGGCACAAGAATCACTTGAGCCCGGGAGGTGAAGGTTGCAGTGAGCTGAGATCACACCACTGCCCTCCAGAGTGTCCCGAGTCATACTCTGTCTCAAAACAAAACACAAAAAAGGCTCCTTAGATTCAAACTGGATTCTGGCATCGGTTCCACTGGTCACCACTGAACTTCTTTGCATCTCTAAGTCTCTGTTTCTTTCATTGCAAAAGGGAGTTAGTATTTTCCTTGTGGAGGTGCTGAGGATTAAATGTGATAATATGTGGGAAGCATTAGGCGGGTAGCACACTTAGCAGATGGTGGGTGGCTCCCTCTGCTTTTCCACCAGTCTGTGGCCTGCAGTTTAAATGGTGGGAAGAAAGACATGAGATTTGAGGCTGGGGAAGGAGGGATGGGGTTCTAGGCAAGGGAGGCGGCCTCTTAGGCGTGGAGCCAGGGGCCTGGGCAGAGTCCCATAGTGACCTGGGTATCCTATGAATGGACCCAAATCTGGGCGCCAGCCACCACACACCCTCACACCCAGGGTCTTCCTGCAGGTAGAGCTGAAAAGCCCAGAGGCTCACAGTCTGCAGCAGCAGTGGGACCAGTCCCTGGGTCACCTGCAGTAGTACATGGCCACCTATCAGCAGCTGGCCTCTGAGAAGGAGGCGCTGCCCAGGCAGTTACTGCTACAGACCCAGCTCATGAACCAGCTGCAGCAGCAGGAAGCTCGGGGCAAAGCAGTAGCTGAGATGGCCCTCCAGAAGTTGCAGGAGACCCAGGGGAGGGAGTTGCTGAGGATGGGGCCCCGAGGGGGATGACCTGGCAACCTCTGTGCCTTCTCACTTCCTTTCCTGGCCCCTTAGGAGCACCTGGAAGCTGCCACCCAGGAGAACCAGCAGCCACAGGACCAGCTGAGCCTCACGACTCTGCCTGGGGAAGGTATGCGAGACCTCTTAGAGGGGGGACTGTTAGCAGCATAGAATTGAGGCGCTGGAAGAGACCTTTAGAACAGGTGGTCATGATGCTGACCAGGTGTCCGCACTAAGTTTGCCATCAATATGGTGACCTCCTGGAAGTGGGGGCCACAGGTGGCCTAAGGAAGGGTGAACTGGCCCAGATCAGGGAGGGAGTGGGTCAGAACTCCCACGCCGATTGGTAGCGGGACTGTGCCTGGACAGTATAGGAAGCTCTTGGTTCTTAAAAGTAGAAAAAGCACAGTAGCGGATTCCTCTGTGGGGAGGGTTGGCTCAGGGTTACACGGTGAGGGTGGAGGCAGAGCTGGGCCCACAGTAGTGCCTCCCTTGTTGGGTTGTGTGCGCACCCCTCTGGCCACCCCCCACAGGACATGGAGGAGGACATCTGGACAGTGAAGAGGACGAGGTGCCTCGACCCAGCATTGCAGAGGCCCTGGAGAGCCGAGAGGCCGTGGTGAGCCTGACTTCCCCCACCCCTCCTTTGCCACCTTCCTCTGTGGTCCCTCCCAGACCCCCTCATGCTCTTGGTTTCTTCACCTTCTGATTTCTCTGGACACATCTCTTCCGGGAGCCCGTGCTCGGGCACCATTTCACCTGTCACCGACAGTGCATTCTCTCAGGCCCCAAGGGAAGGGGCTTCACCCCACCTCCGTGCCCGCTTATTCTTTGTATGCCCTATAAGAATGTTCACCTCTTGCCTTCAGGGGGCATTTATCAACGCGACTGGGGCCGGTGCCCAGGAGGAGCAGGAACAAAGGGTGTGCTACCAGCACCTGGCTCACCCGGTGGCCTCGGTGCAGGAGCCAGAGGCAGTGACTGCAGCCTCAGCCCCAGCTTCAGCCCCGGCCTCAGGGACTGAGAGTGAGTCTCTGTGTGGGGAGACCAATCACGCACTGCAGGGAGCCATAGAGAAGCTGCAGGTGAGTCCTGGCATAGGCCAAGAAGGGTGGGGGCGGGGCAGGTCACTGCTGAGATGTGACCCCATTATTTGTACTTCAGAGCGGCTTTAAGACCCTCCAAAAGGAGAAGGTGGACCTGAAGGAGCGGGTGGAGAATCTAGAGCTTCTATTCATCAGGCTCTCTGGAGAGACAGACACGATGAGTGAGCGGGGGACCAGGGCACGGCAGGAGGAGCTACAGGGTTGTCTGAGGGTCCCCAGCGTCTCAGCCTGTCTGAGCCCTGTCCTTTTGTAGGAAAGAACATCAAATCGTATGAGCCACAGAGGGCAGTCCCAAAGCCCCGGCACCAGGAGGAGGGGGAAAAGCGGGAGATGAAGGTAAGGCGAGCAGCATCTCTGCGGGGCTGAGGGGGATGGGAGTGGGCATGGGCATGGCTGCTGGCACCAGCGTGGCAGCTAAGCACCCCTGTCTCCAGCTGCAGCTGCAGGAGCCAGTGTTTCCAATTCTGGGTGACAACGAGGGCCATGCCAAATTCCTGGCCACTGCCAAGAACCATGTTGATGGGCCGGCTCCAGGGGCCCCAGTACCCCAGGGGTTTGGGATGGTCAACAAACAGAGAGGTGAGTGGAGCCATCAGGCAGGGTGGGCAGGCAGGAGCAGGGGAGACTCACCCTGTGCTGAGATCCCCACCTCCCTCTCTCCAAAGATCTTTGTGAGGTCAGCCTTGCACACAGCATGGAGCCTGCAAGATACACCTGGGAGCGTTCTCCCCAGGGCAACCCCACTGTAGGAAACATCGTGCCGCCGCTTCGTGAAATGAAGACCTTCCAGGAGCACCCAGGCTTGGGCCAGAACTCCTACGTGCC